GAGAGCCGTACTGCCAGTACAGTATATTCCAGTATCGAGAGCTGTACTGGAGAGTGCAGTATTTTTATTCCAGTATTGAAAGCTGTACTAAAGCGTCCAGTACAGTACAGTACCGAGAGCCGTGCTGCCAGTACAGTATATTCCAGTATCGAGAGCTGTACTGGAGAGTGCAGTATTTTTATTCCAGTATCGAAAGCTGTACTAAAGCGTGCAGTATTTTTATTCCAGTATCGAAAGCTGTACTAAAGCGTGCAGTACAGTATATTATGGCCAAAGGTACTGCAATACTGAAAATACTGGCAGTATTGTACTGTACTAAACCTGCCCGTGATTTTTTAAAAATTTTTTTTGCTCAATGCTGAAAAAATCTCCGTTTGTCAAGGGACTCCGTGGATTAGTACGGGCATGTTTTCCGCTACACCCGAAAGTACGCTTGCGGCCTGAGACGGCATATACTAGATTGCGTTTGTCAGGTACTCACAGCGCACCGCCCAAGAGTTCAAAACGCAAACAGAGCGCACCTGTATGCATAGGTGGCTCGCATTCCAACAATTTTCCTTGTGTTCACTCATTCCTCGTGGAAGGCAGATTACGGACTGCAAACAAAAACCCTTCCGATACCACGTAAAACATAAAACACGCAAAGCAAGGTTATTATCTACCTTTATCATACATGGTGTGGCTCACCTCCTAAAATTTCTATTGCACTTGGAGCAGATGGACTGCTGGCCAGGGGGCGTCGACTTGCCGTCGCTCCCGATGGGTGGCATCTAAACCCGCCCGTCCCGTCATCGGGCCGCGGGTGAACACCAAGATGCAGCACATACGTGTTCAAGAACGGACGCCAGCAAGTTGGACGACAAAAAAAAACACGCACGGGCATCAGCGGTGTGGTGTGCTGTGTGGGAATGATGCGCATCATCAATTGCGAGCTTTTTCTCGAAGCAATTTGCAAAGTAAACTTTGCCAGCAACAGAAGCAGGCATCAACTTGCTTGCGCCAAAGATGGGATCCTAATCCAAACGTTCACAGCATCTGGTTGGTGTTGAACATGGGCGGGAAGTTTCGAGAAGCAGTCCCTTCAGCAACAAAGTCAACTGATGTAAAGTCCGGATGAAAGGGCACGTTCATGTAGGAGTTGAGACGGGTGCCAGTCTCAAATCTGTGATCCCCAGCATGTTTCTGATCATGATGTCCGTTGCCCCATCTGCCGTTCGACAAAAACGGCAAGAAACGGACCCACCCTACATATAAGTACATAATATGGCGCGTGTGTACGCAGGCGCTCAAACCCCCGTTTGAACAGAGCGCATGTCTGTGTGACGTTTGTTGGGACACGCCACTGCTGCAGCTTTCCCACAGTCATTCCCTGCGGCAGTATCCTTTGGGCGCCCGAGCAACGCGGGCAAGACGCACACACAACCAGTACATCGCCCACATGCTGGGGCACGCGCGAGGGAGTATCTCTACGTACGTAGCCGCGGATACAGCAGCTGCCAGGGTGCTAGGAAGAGAAAAGTTTGCGGTCCCCACCTCATTCTTGTGGCAATAGTTCCCCGTGCAGGCCGAAAAGAAGCCCTGCATACTACCCGAGCTACCACCGACACGAGGGCCTCCGGGAGAGGACATGGCGCACAGCTTCTTGTCTTTGCAGCGTCGTCGGAGGAAGGGTTCTTCTATCTCGCGATCTTGTTGTTGTTGTTGTTGGGACCTTGCGCGTGGGAGAATGACGGAGGACAAAGCCAGCAACAGGAGGCAAAGCAGGCGACGTGTCTGTTTGCTACCCCTGTCCGCTTCGCATCTGTTGACACCTAATCTTAAAGAATCAATATTAGGAAGCGGCGTGAATAACGGGCTCCGTGTATCGGGGCATCACACAGCCCCCCCTCCCCCATCGCCCCTCGCTGTATCAACAAAGCGCGGCGGGATTTTGCTGCTATGACAGCATTGAAGCTGAGCAGCGGTGCGGGTCGGTCCGGTGGGTGCTGCGTGCTAGCCCTGCAGAGATTCCCATCCACTCACTATCCACAGCGAAGCGGAAATGTCAGCAGCGTCGCGGAAAGGCAACTCGACAGCAGCTGGTACCGGAAGGAGAAAACAACCCGGTAAAGCTAGTGCCACTGCACCTGCTGCTGCTGTTGTTCCAGCAAGAGCAGCAGCAGCAACAGCAACATCAACATCCCCTGCGAGACGACGGGACCAGCCTCTTGATGCTCCAGGATGGCAGGAGGTCGCGAGTCGAAGAAAAACTCGTCATCCCTCCAGTACGAGGGAGCAGTTTCAGGAGCAGCAGGAGCAGCAGCAGCAACGGAATCGAGGAGCATCCAAATCGACCAAGCCAAACGGAAGCATCACTACCACCGGCAAGAACAATAACACGGCCGTCACCGCTGGGCAGAAAGCGGGCGGCAACAAAGGCGGTACCGCCAGGCGCAACGGCCCACAGCAGGCAGCAGCGGCAGCTGGGAGGCACAAGCATACGCTCTTCGACCACCTCTCGACGAACAACAGCAGCATTGTTGCTGCTCCGGCGGCGGTTGCTTCTCGGCAACTGTTGGGCGGTGAAAGTAGCTCAGCAGCGCACCCATGTCAACAACCAAGGATACCGCCGCCACGGCGGTCTGCCTCCTCGACCCCGAAATACTACCGCAGTAGCCGGGATCCGCAGCCGTGGCGGGGGGTCTCATCCGGCGATGCCGCTGAAAACTCCCAGCAGTCACGACATCGAGGCGATGCTATAGCTGACGGCGGTGGGCGGCTCAAGGGAGCGGTACAAAGCTCACCATCACGCGGGACCAGACGAAGCGGCCCCTACGCGCAGGGTAGGGCGATGCCCAAGAACGGGAACATCCCGAAGCCGGGAAAGCAGCGCCTCGGTCCTCACAAGAAGAAGCTATCCACGTTAAAGAAGAAGATTTTGTTGGATAGGTTAGAGAGGTGGAGAGACAAGCAGCACGGGGGGGGGCTGTCGAATCCTTCTGCTACTGCTGCTTCCGAGGAAGCAAAGTGTAGCAACCTTTTCCCTCTCTGTCCTCCGGGAGGGTTGTCACCTCCACCGTCGCCGCCGGCAACAATCTGTCCGGCTGTCGTCGACAAGTCCACGAGCTACGGTCAGGTTGGAGGTGGCATTGGCGAGAGAAATGTGTGGGCAATCACGATTTACAACCTTGTGGACGAGGAGGATGTTGAAGACGACGACGACCACGCGGAGATAGAGCGAGATTTATGGGACATGTCTTCGGCATTCGGCGTCGTGCGCAGCGTACAGGTCCCGCGCGGCACCACCGTACAGGTTAGCGACGCCCAGGTGTCTGCGGCAGCGACTGCGGGGGAGCCGGCGGCTGTAGCGGCGAAGGTGGCATTTGCAACGAACGCCGAGGCCGAATGCGCGAGAGACGAGCTGAACGGCCGAATTGTAGGCGGGAAACCCTTGCTTGTCAGAAGACACCGCTGTGATGGCGACTTCGGCGGCGGCATTTGCCCTGGTGACCCCGACGGCAGTGGCTTGTGGCGGGTTGCCATCGAAAATTTGATTGACGAGGAGGACGACCTGGATGACGAAGATGAGTACGCCGAGATCTCCGCCAACGTTTCGACCATGATGGGGTGTTACGGAAAGCTCGTGGATGTCCAGGTACGGAGGAGCAGCCCAAGTGAAGGCGAAGCACAAGAAGATGTCGCAACAAGGGCGGCGACAACGGCAGGAGCTACACAGGCGGTCGTGGTTACGTTCGGATCTCTGGCAGAGGCAGAGGCGTGCGTCCAGGGGATAAAAGGGTGCCGTGTGGGAGGGAAAGAGCTTGACGCCCACGTTGTTCACGATTCGGAGCGAGTCCTCCCTCCGAGTCCAGTACTCAAGTGTGACGACCAAGAGCATGCCCGCCAATCGGACGTTGCCATAGCCGTAGCCGGCCAGGGCGAGTCGGCGATGAAAAAAGAAGCAGGGATGGAACGGCCACCATGTGTTGACCAAACCACCGCCGCTGCAGTTGCAAGCAGCACCGAATGGTACGTGGTCATCCGAGGACTGATCGACGAAGACGACCTGCAGGACGACGATGACGACTACGCCGAGGTGTGCTCAGATGTGACCGGCTTGGTGAGCAGTTATGGAGCAGTGGTCGGGCTTGACATTCCCCGTGGGCGAGAAACGGGCATCTGCTGCTATGGAGCTGAGCCGGGAGAGGCCGTGGTCGCGTTTAGGTCCCTTCAGGAAGCTGAAGCATGTGCACGGGGGCTGAGCGGACGGAAGGTAGCCGGGAACATCCTCGACGCTCAAGTCTTGACGCAACCAACGCCGTCGCAACAGGGAACGCTGCAGGGGGGGGCAAGTGGTACCGACCCTCCTGTTGTCCACAGAGAATGGAAGCCGGCAAAGGGATGCACGCTCCCACAACAGCAGTCCATGGCAACACCTCCAAGCCACCAATTATGTGGCAAGGTTGCAGAGCTTCATGTCTCTGGGCCGGGATTGCTGGGAGGCATCGGAAACAGCGGAGAGGATGACCGCGGGCGCCCCAAGATCTCCTTTACTGATTCGGATGAACCACAGGCAACTGCCGCAGCGGCGCCGCCGGCGCATTCCATCGAAGGGCCGAAGACTGCGGCTCTCGCCAAAGCGGGGAAGAGGATACCGATGAAGTACCAGGAGGCAGCAGCGCTCCCGAAACCTCCAGGCATAAGCGGTGGCGGTTCGCCCAACGCGTACGTGCACCAGGTAACGTGTGTGTGAGTAGACCCGTGTGGCACATGATCTGAACCAGTTTTGACGGACATCAGTGTATACCTTTCGTTCTCTGGAGGGTGCAGGGTGTCCAGGCCGGTTCAGAAGATCTTGCACTTTTGGTACACTCCTCGCACCAAACACTCCCGCCCCAAGCGCGTGCCTATAGGCGCCCTGAACCTTGGACATTGTTGTTTTCTGGTGTCTCTTGCCGCAGCCTCCAGACAAAGAGGCCAACGATCTGGTCTTCGAAATGCTACAACTCCTGTTCAAGTTTCAGGTGTGATAATGAGGGCGGATTTGACCTCTAATTGCAAGTCGGACTGGGGCTTGATCAAGAAAAACGAAGGTCAGTATGTCTTCGCCTGGACGGACCATCCCCTACCGCTTGCTTCGTCTGGAGAGCTGGTGACCCCCAAGTCACTACATGTTGTCGCAACGTGCGACCACCAAGAGCAAACTCGCCTGACCATGGCTGACATGCCACCTCTCACTTTGATGGGTTGCCCCACGTTCTTGTTGGGCGCTTTTGCTTGGACAGGAACGTGCCCGTCTTTCGGACCCGGCCAAGGCGAAAACCAGGCGACGACTAGTCATAGGGCTGCGAGAGGTGCTACGTGGCGTGAAGGCGAAAAAGGTGCGGCGCCCTCGGTTCTGCCCGTCTCTGATAGACAGCACCGTGCGCTCACGACTTGTTTGGCGTGTGACTACTTGCGCTCTGCGACCGTTTTGTCCGTGACAATTTTTTCCACGCCATTGTCCGTAAGTTATTGATCGACTTATTTTTTCGCTGTCACGGGGGCACGCAGATCATGCATTTTTAGTGCTGTGCTGTGGTAGTCTGCCGGCCCCTACCCGCTTCGTCTGTGAAGCACCAAGAGCCTCTACTTTGTACTCGATCCAATGCTTGTTTGAGATATCGCTTCTATTTGGATCGGGCGTTCCTCATGTTCTAGGTGCGCCTTCTCATCGTCGCGCCCAACGTGGACGCCGTTGGGGGAGAAGGAGGGCTGGACGACAAGGTGGTCGAGATCATCGACAAGGCCCGGGAGGAAGAAACCCCGGTCGTGTTCGCCCTGTCCAAGTGAGTCAGCCCGTTTCGAAGTGCATTACTTCCTTCGTGCATTTCTCTCTCATGCGCCTTGTTTTCACGCCGAACCCCATGTGGCGGACTCTGTTTCAGGACCAGCCGGTTGTGGGAAAAGCTGTGCAAAGGCACCCAACAGAACAACGGAGAAAAACACTGCCTTGGGTCTCGTAATTGGTGCTCACGCAGCCACCACCTAGGAACTGGTCCGTTGGACTGAGGAACCGCGTCATGTATGTGGGCAAGGAGCAGAGGATAGGCGTGGGCATCTTGTTGGACGCGATACGTTCGCTATTGGTGATAGGAACGCGTGACGAACGGTGGTGTACATGATTTGTCTTTCGTGTGGGCCTGTCGTTAAAAGTTTGACCACCCGTATGGAAATTTTGTCCACGGAAATGCTCCCGCTGTGTACGTCGAACTGCGGTGTCCCTCGCCTTGTTTCTCTCACGGATGTGATCAACCTACCCGGTCTCCTTCCAGGCGCAAGATTGGCAAGGCGCTTGGGAAAACCATCAAGGTCAGCGCGGTAGGCGTTTACAGCTTCGACGGTGCCAATGAGCAGCAGAAGCAGGTAGGAGTGGGTTCAGCCGCGGACGGTGTTGCAGTCTATGCACCACTCGTCTAGACATCGTGCTTTGTATACAGCAGTGCTTGAATGGATTTCAACACGTGCGGGTCGAGGATTGACAGGAATATAAGCGAATGGAGAAACGACGAGCTTTCAACGTAGTGGATACTTCAGCGCAGAAGCGGTCCAATCGGTATTTTCGTGTGTGAGAGTAGATTGATCGACGCCCTTGTGAAGCCATCCTTTTGGCTGAGTTTGCCCCGTCATCTCCGCCGAAATTTCCTGACCCGCTACTTTTTTCCGTGTTCCTTTACCCTCAATCTGGTACTTGCCGATCTCCTTTTTCCTCGTGCAAATTACCCCTCATGGTTCGAAAGCTGAAACGCCGAATGGAGACCATCAGCTCGCTACCGTCGCCAGCCCCACGGCAAACTGACCCGCCGACAGACGATGCGTTGGCGTCACCACCGAGTTCTTCCGCGTGTGGCGATTCACAGGACCCAGCAAGGAAAGTGTGATGGTTCGATTTCCCTCACATCTGCTGTCATGCATTCCTGCGCATTTGCGCGTTTGTGGTACCTGGTAGCAGTATTATTCGTCGAGTCTCTTAGCGCTCGGACGCGAACTAACGGGAAACTCCCTAGGTTGATGTTTCACCCTCATATTTTCCGTTTTGCGGTTGTGACCAAATGACAGTTGCAGCTCATCCTGGGTCTTGTTGGGTGAGCCTCTTTTGTCTGAAGTAGCGGGAACCCGACATCGATTTGCTTGTTTATGTACAAGAGCTGTACATGTGTTGTCACGTGATGTGCTATGGGAAGACCGATCGGCCTTGGCCGACGCCCTTCTGTATGTTGTCGGTTTGAAAATTGTTTGTGGCCATTTATCTGGCGTTTGCGTATCGGTACAGTAGTAGTTGTGACGCTGGTGGCTTAGGTTGCGCTGCCACCCCGGCCTGTTGCCGGGCAAGTTGCTCCAATGCCGGACTATTGCTGATTGCTACGATTATTGTTGTTGTTGTTGTTGTTGTTGTTGTTGTTGTTGTTGTTGTCTTTTCACTCGGTATACCGCTCTGACTACGTCGGACTGGTCAAGAAACGACGTTTCGTGGTCACAGCGAGACCACCATAGGCACTTATCGCGAAGTTTGAGACCCAGAAGAATATCACCAGTCATGAGCAAGAATTCTAGCTTCTAGCGTAAACAAAACAAGATAGATGACAACGCAAGGGATTGAAACAAGCCTAAGGAGGTATAGCCCGCCGTGCAGAATTGAAGCCTCAGTTAACGACCAACAATTGCAAAGAGAGATAATGATTGAGGGTCAGCGGTTGAGCTAAGCCGCCGAAGTCTGCCAGCGCAGCTTTACCTGCAACGAATGCATCAACGTGCTGAAAAGTGGCATGCATGACACTGGTTGCGTTCTAAAACAGTCGCGGAACGAAAGAGACCAAGGCTTGCGTGGCCAACCTCTCGCTCGCCCCTCGCTCCACTTTGCGTCTTCCTCAGCCTGTGTTCCCCCTAGGGCTATCGGCTACAACGGCATCCTTGTTTATGGCGTAGTCTAGCCCCACCGACGTTGAGCGAAAAGACGCATGCGCTGCGAAGGTTGACTTCTTAGATCAACACCCGTACAACGTACAACGGGCGGATCCAGGGGAAGCGGCACTGTGTACATATCATGTTTTTTCGAGTCATTTTACTAGCATTAGCGAACACCCAAGGGCGGGAAAACTCCGCGTTGTCGGCACTCTGTGAAGTACGAAAACACTGCGATACGCTCTCAAAGTACTTCTCGCTTTGGCCGTGTGCGGGAACAACATAACTCTTCTCCGTCAAAAAGAGCAACAGGGTCAATATCCTGGGGACTATCTACGAGGAACTTAGGTGGCCTTTTTTGCAATGCCTGGATACAAGTCTAAATGCCTGTTCACCCTTTTCACAATTTCACCCACGAGTTTCGTATTGGAACTGCAAGATTTCGCCCACAAGCCATCCGCGAGCGATGTTCTTCCGATTCAAGCGCGTCCGCTCGATCTCGGTACAGATCGTACTGGCGGTCACAATACCTGTCGCTTTCGTTCTGGACGTGGGTGACCTCTTCGGCAACCCCCGATGTTGTCGCGTTTGAGGTTCGCGACTTCCCCCAAATGCTGATGACCACCCCTCTCAGAATGCTAGGTTCGCAAAATTACGGCGTCCAATCCGGCAGTTAAACTCGGGTGTGCAAGGAAGTTACCAACTGTGGAACAAGGCCGGAGGTTGCGTGAAGGGCTTTCCATCGTCAATCACAACCAGCTCTGTGTCAAAGGCATTGCGATAGTTCACCGAGAGGTGCGGATTGAGCAGCCGGGCGGCTTCGAAGTCGGCCGCGGCCTCCTCCAGATTCCCCAACGCCTTGTTTGCCCAGCCTCTCCGGAAGAGCGTATGCGCCTGTTGGAACGATCTTGATCCAGACCCGATCGTAGCATGTACGCAATATTTTGTCTTGGATTGTGGCTTCCCCGGCAAACTCGCAAGACAAGCCGTAAAGTCAGACCTAACAATGTTGACATTAATGACGTTTTTTTAGTTTCTTTGTTGCCGAGGGCGAGGTTACGAGGAAACGAGTGCGGGGAAGGGGGTGAGAGATTGTCAGCAACTTACGTTGGAATACCACCTGATGATCGCACATTGCTTTCAGACAAATCTTGCTGGCTTGTGTTACCCTTTTCACGGTGAAACTCAAAACCACGGTCCTGTTATGGACGTAAACAAACATGGCAAGACCAAATTCGATGGGAACAATCCAAGGTTGGGGTTATGTGAAGATCTCGTGAACATCAAGGAGGAGGCCTCCTACATTTTGCTCAATCAACGAACGCGAGGACGATTCGAGAACGCATCGAAGCTTCTCCTCGCGTTAGACCGCATGTTCCTCAAAACTGGAACCCTGATCGTACATTTACGTCGGAAAAATCAAGGGGAGGCCAACTAATTCAAGGATTTCGTTCTTTCGTTCCCCCTTCCTTGCCTGGCACCGTCAAAGTCTCTCAAAAGCTGCCGAACCTTGCCCCGCTCGCGGTGATACGCGGAGCGTGCAACATTCGCGCCATCCTCGACGCAGGACAAGCCCCATTCTTTCGGTCTTCTTGGACCTTCAGGGTTTCGGCCTTCAATGGCCAAGGAGAACGCATCGTGCGCGTCGTCCAACTCCCCAGCGTTCACCAGACACAGTCCTCTGTAAGGAGAGGGGGGCCAGTTATTTGGTCAAGTACCGGACTATTTGGAGGGCATCGTGGTGCCTCGATCATTCTCTCATTTCCTCCTCTCCGGTTTGTGAGGCTTCAGAAGGTACATGTTTCTTGTTGTTCTCTTTGCGCGAGGACTACCTCTGCAACTTTTTGAAACGAAGCCTTCCTAATATGACTTCAGGGGGAGAGAGAGATAGTTGACGCGAAAAGCACGCCACAAGCTTGAAATGGAGACCTGAACCGTACGTAAGAAACAGCATACCGATGGTAGTGAAGCGATGCATCCTCGATTTGACCATCCACTGATACAACAGGGGTTGGCTGGCCAAGATCCGTTGGCCCATCAGTCTTTGTGTCTCGTTGCTCCAGCAGTCGAACCTCCTCTTCCCAAGCTCGGTCGAATAGCTCGAGGGCAAGCGCAAACCCTCCGAGTCTCAAGTACGCAAGACCAACTTGGAACAGGAAGTTCCGCATCTATTGTACGTAAAGGCCACCGACGGTGTGTTCACAGGGGACGAACGGCGGACTGAAATGAAACCTCTGTGAGAACCGTTGGATTATCCCGGAGTCTACATGCATGCGGCATTACCATCCTACACGACCAGTGTACAAACTAGGAGTGGTCCAACGTTGAGTGAAATAGAGACGATTCAGAGAATGACAAGGAAGAGATACGAACAAAGACCTTTCCGAGAAGTATTCAACAGGCAGTTCTCGAACTCCAACTAAGGTTGGGCTGGTTCGCGGTTCCAAGGTGCATGGTTAGGGTCTACCACTCGCTGCCGTATTGCAGACGAAAAGCCTACAACCCACGCATCCGTACCTCCGGTGGCGGCTCCCCTTTCTCCGCCATGGACATACAAGCTCGCAAGTCCCGTGCCGCGGAGGTCCGGTAGGCTTCACCGAGTTCCACCAAACACGTAGCCCTGTGCCAAAAACGCTGCCAGCTGACGGGTCCTTCCGAGATGGCGACGTTGAAATCTCTGACGGCATCGGCGTGACGCCCTAGCTGCTGGAGGGAGAGGGCCCTGTTTCATGGGGTTCGACATTTCACGTGTCGACTGCTGTTGATGCTTGATTTGAAACCCGCATGGCGCTGTGTCGTGCGACGGCTCGGCAACAATAGCCTTGGCCGTATGCGCAAACCTGGCCTTCACGAAGGCAAACTCTGCACGTTGTTTAGTGTTTCCTCTCTCGAATTCTCCGGTTCGAATATTTTCTTTCATGCTAACTAGACTACCTGCTTGCACGTAGTCACGACACTCTTCCGCTTTCCCGCTTGAATTGCGGTCTGCCACACTTTCTCATGCCACCGATAACAGTGCAACTGTAGATATACAAATCTTCGTTTGGTGTTCCGATGAAATTGTTTCTTACACGTAGGCAACAGTTCTTTCGGGGGCAGATGGACTACCTCACCTGGCATAGTGGCAAGCCCCGACGACTGACCCCCCCTCCCCCATTCCGTCTCCAACTTCACCGCTTCGCGAATTTCTGCGGCACTTGGCTTCCCGACTTTCCTCTAAATGACCTTCGGCGCCGTGCGATTCTGGCTGCGTGGTTGCTGCGGGACTCGCTTCGCGCGGATCGGCGCCGGCGCGGTTGTGTTCAGCTCTTGGCGAGGAGTTTTCGGACAGCACAACGTCAGGGTTGGCGCGGTTGCCCTTGGTGTCGCTATCTTGCTCGGTTTTCGCATTTCTCGCATCGGTTTCTTTCTCATCCCCTTTCGCCTCGTCTTTCCGTCGAGAGACAGAATCGTCTCGGGTGAATCCGTCCGCCTCGCCAAGGCTTTTCGTCCGAGAACCGCATGCGGTCTTGGATCCGAGAATGGAGATGGCCGTTGTGAAATCCCTGATCGCTTGCTCGTGGCTGCTCAACCGGTGAAGTTGATCAGATTCAACAGCCAAAAAATTGGTTTCGTAATTGAAGCGGTCCGCGAACAGGGTGTGTGAGTTGAGGCTGAGCGTCCAAGGATGAAAACAAATCGTTTCTGTGCTTAGTGCAACGGCGCTGGTAGTTATGCTGGGGACCTATGGTGGTATTTATTCTTCGGGCCAGACCACTTTTCGCTGGAAAAATCGACACGCGAGGGTGTTCTACCCGCGGTGTTGGCTTCTCCGGCGCGATCGCTGAGATATTTGGGCAACTTTTGTATCGGGAAACAGTTCGTGTTGGTCCCGACAATAGTGGGTGATCGGGTGATGGACAACACGGATATAGCTAGACGGCAGCAAGTGCCCCGACTTTGCCTCTATTTGTTTGATCTTCGGCCTGGATGCTTCTGACTTGACAAAAGTCTGACGGGAGTAGCCTTTGGGCGGGAAGCAACAAAGTGTATTACAAGGTATTGATACACGGATACATGAGCCATGTAGACGCGCAGAGCAATGCAACCACTAAACTGATAAAAAAATCACGTGGTAAACACTAGACATGGGGAGGCGTGGACCCAGCGTTGATTTGGGTACTTAGGAGTGACGAGATTGAATCACGACTAACGCATCATCAAGACTTGTGCGCGCTTGATCGCGTTGAAATTGCCCTTGCCTGGAAAGGCCCGCAAGACTTCGCCCACGCAGCAAGAACCCTTCCGGCCGCTGGCCGTTGACGGCTATGGACGCGGTGAAATTCTGAAACGACACGATCGACCAACATAATGACCGGAGGGCAGACAAGAGGTATAAATGATGTGATTGAGGTGCCTTAGCTCAAGCACAGCTCGCTGAACAGAAAATGACACCCAATCGTTCGGCACGCAGAACAAAACCGCGCAAGGGGCACCTAGGGTAGGATCGAAACTCGTGCTGGGAACCATGTAGAAGGACGAGGCGGGACGGCAACATACATCGCACATCGTTCATTGTCGAAAACTCGGCCTCGAGGGTCGTGATGCTGTCGGCGCATCAATCAATCTCCTTTCTACGAGATTCTCACCGATCAACCATGAAGAATCACCAATTTTCTTGGTCGTAGGCCACAACAACAACAAACGCGGTGGGGGTCAAGAGGTG